CGAGTCATCTTGGTTTTTTTTTTCTCTAAGTATCTCTATATCTCCTAGAAACGACAGTTGTGTTTATATAAAGAAGCATATTGCTCTTTATTAGCACCAGACTATGATGGCATGTATGCGGTCTACCTAACTCCTTGTATGCGTACCTGAATAGGCTACAGTTATTTGTATTACATATGAATCGGTTTTGTAGACCCAGCTGTTGCGAGACACTCCGTGGGTAAATATTATCGCCCTGACCTAAACAAGCGTTTGGAGAATTGAATGTTTTACCTATAGATGAAAAGTTTTACTGCGGTATCGAATGCGAAGTCGATAACTGCACTTATCGACTACGTCTCTATTATAAATCACTATCATAGTTACTACACTTCAGGTTTTAATATACTCTCATTTTATTTATAAGTAAATTGGTTTACAATGTAAATTTTTTTCATTCGTGTATCATATTTTGTCAGTTCAATATGCAATAAAAATATTCTTTATTTTATTATCGTAAATTAAGACCAAAATAGCCCTTGAAGTTTTCAGGTCGGCCACTAGTTATTCGAATAATGACAAAAATTACTTGAAATTATAGAGGTGCTAATTTGTTATTACCGAAACTGTTGTTTAATAGCTCCTGCGAAGTGATAACTAATCATAATGCTAGAAAGAAGTAATTAAATATTTTAATTCAACTTAACTATAACAATCATGTAACTAAATGGTAGAAAATCTAAGTGCATGAAGTGTTTTATTCAGGCCACCTCATCACAAATTTCTTAACAATCTGTTATTTACCTGTATCAGGCGGTCATAAGAAAGTCATATATTAGCAAGACACTTGTAACTACATTGTATTGTAATTATTTGATTAAGTATTCCTTTCTACCCTTAATATCCGTTACTGAACCAACTGCCGACTCAGAGATGAGAGGCGATAATAACTAAGTGCCGATAAAGACACAGATGATAACTGTTTTCTCTAGAAATTTTATCTGGTTAGCACTGTCAATGGCTTTGGCTCTGTCAGATGTGCGACACCGAACGTGGTGTCCGTAGCCGTGATCGTATAGTGGTTAGTACCTTGCGTTGTGGCCGCAATAACCCAGGTTCGAATCCTGGTCACGGCAGAACTTTTACCTTAGTTTTTGAGATTTGTCCATTTCTGCACTAATGTTTGTTAGGATAGTATAACAACGTATGTTACAACTGACTTTTTGAGAAGAGCCTATAAACGTCTCAATCTAACGCTGTACACTTTCTCACACAGAATATATTCAGGTTGGACTTCTTATATATTCAGGACTCATTGGGCAAATTATGCTAAAAAATATCGAAATATACTAAAATTTAGCGACCGAAAATTAAAATATTACACCCTATAATAATACACTTAGCGTCGTCGAAAGATTGCTCGGCGTCTAGCTTCTCGTCTTATCTATTTGATAAGTTAGCCGCGGCACATAACCATGTGGCGTCGGTGGTTCAGTGGTAGAATACTCGCCTGCCACGCGGGTGGCCCGGGTTCGATTCCCGGCCGACGCAACGTTTTCTCGTAATTGACGAGGGATTAATGTTGACTCAACGTGCCCTGCTACATACACACTATCGTTAGTTACATCAATTTTACTTATAGCAAATTTATTTTTGCATTTCTTCTGCAAATATGAACAAAATGATACCACAGTTACATCTCACATGAAAGATCCGTAGTTGCGTTAGCCTACTTCCAATAACGTAGACATATTGTACTTTTTAGCGATACTTGCTTCTGAGTTTGTCTCATAGTATGGAAACCATTTATGATGAGACGTCTCTAAAAGCATCGAATAAACGGACGGATGCCATAAGAAGTACGAAAAGACATTTAATAAATATTGAAATGAGACATTTTTTGAAGTGAATGGAAATTCGTATCGGAATCATATCACGATGTCTTTGTCAAGGGCAATGTTTGTGGGTCAAGCACGATCAAGAAATTATGATGATTTTATACAAAAATTGTCGACAAGAGCGTTCTTATTTCACACAGTACTATACGTTATATAGTTTTCACCGAATAATATATTCTATGGAAATGGTTCAAGTGGGAACAGAACGTGTTGCAGACTAACAAACAGTGTAATAAGCAAATTAGTACTTGCAACGTCCGTCTATCAGGCTAACTGACTGAATTACTTGGCTGTACCTATAAGTGTTGATGGAGCCGATGGCCGATGGTCTGCTTGACTTTGTTTTTTGATATTGCTGGAAGACACTGCTAGTGCCGAAACATGGGGTCGGTGAGTGGCTGTGCGGAGGCATCGCGGAACTACGATAACCTAAAAACGAACCAAAAATCCTTACGGCGTTGCAAACCTCCTTGCGGCTTCTGACGAATTCGAGGAGGACTCGAATCTAAACTTAAACGAGATTTAACATAATGGCTTGAACGCCCAGTTTTAATACACCTTGGCTTTTGATACAGAAATCTGCGTTTTAGAGACGAGGATATTAACTGGCCTAACTGGCTAATAATAAGCCCTTACCGTTCGTTATTGTAAAACTCTTTGCCTCTTTTTGTACCTCTTGAACCATTTTTGAGACTCCTGACCGGCTGTTAGTACAAGCTTAAATTCTACAAATTTTTTTTTATATAGCCTATTTACGTGATACTTTAACGAGTTTACTCTAACCAATACTGCCTGATGCACGCTTATTATTAAAGCGTTATTTGCGGATTAAAAAATGAATGTTTTGTATTTATTTGTATTTGTTGTAATTGCAGCGAATAATGCTGATTAAGTAGACATGGCATTTCTAGTACGTGGAAAAAATTTAGTAGAATTATTTGTCATTGTTTAAATACATTCTCAAAAACAACGTACAAAAAGTTTTCTCCTAAAGAAAAAATAATGTAGATGCCTCATTTGATATACATATATAAGCACTAAACTGATCTTATGAGATGATTATACTGGCATCTCAATATACAAATAGTGAACAGTTAAAAATGTAAGAAAATTTCTTGTAACAAAGAATAGTGTTTCTCATACTTTCGTAGACTCACGCTTCCAACTCATGTTGACAAGGCATTTTTTTTTAGACTAATCTGCCCAAATATATAATAAGCATGGAAATCAGTTGTAGTATCAACTTCAATCCTCGATTACTCAACTCACTTATATAGCGGTGTATCAAAATGAATATATCAATTATGTTTATATTGTTGTCCGGGTCGTACTGCAATCTCTTAGACCGTCCGATCGACCTGCATAACCTAAAGTGGCGCTCGCATCTCCCTGAACAAAGCTTATACCATATCCGTGACATGGTACATCTGATAAGTTAGAGGCTCTTGTCTGAGACATAGCTGGCTCACTTAGGGCCTCGCAGCTTAGAATTTAATGGTAAAACTATTAAAAGGCAATCACTTGAATAACCGTTGAGCCACAGCGAAAGTTCAAGAAGAGCGATCAAGTATTTGATACTATACTTTTAAACAAGGAAGCTTGTATGTACGTGCTAATCGTCTCGAAGACGGTTTTGCCGAGCGTTGCGTGTGAGCTCGACGTGACTACAGAAGCCTACAGTAAAGATGATATGAGAATAATTAAAAAAAAAAAATAGGTGCGAACTTCTGAGCTACACCAGTGCGACAGTTACTCTATAGAACCAGGGCAGAATTTGATTTTCGTTTGAGCAAAATTTAACTTCTACACATATTTCATAAAGTGTGTGTACTTGTTTTGTTTACCGAGCCCATTCTCGCTCGACACTTTGAATGTTAAGGCCGCAAAGCGGAACCGGGCCAACGATAATTTAGCGACAGCCTAACGGCAACGGGAGAGTGAGATAATTGACATATGAATATGGAACACGTTCGAAATCCCAGTGCCAGAGATTATTGCTAAACTTGACACAGGGTCGAAATTGTAATAAGAGAGCTTTTTACGTAGGTCTAGTGTGAGGGGGCTCATATATGCATTTTATATAGGCTTAATGATTTTGAACGTGTCCCGATTCAAGTTTCGGAAGAAGAAAGACTTTATGAGCATGTAATAACGTGTAGCCATTCACGACCTCTGTGTCTATTTAAAACTGTCATATCGGCGGCCCTTGTTTTTCCATTCAGCGTAAGGACAGCTACTCAACTCTATGAAAAATTTGGCAACGTTTGCTGGTTATGAGCGTATCCTTTTATCTGTACATACATAAAAAAAATAGATACATAGAACGCACAATTCGATTATTATTATTATTAGAATAGAAGAGGAACCTACTTAAGGAACAGAGCGCTTTTTCACACTGATAGCAAACCATAGTTCTTTTTGCAGGATAGTCTAAGGTTTGGCATTCTCTATTATGTAGCTTTGTGCACAACTGCCGGTGGCTAACTAAATAATATTTATTACAAGATAACAAAAGCACAACGTGAAAGGACTGTCTTTCCCAAAATCTAGAAGCTTCGGTTTGTCTCTAACAGAATTTCGAAACTCTCTGAATGCCCTGCAGCTTTTATTTGTATATGATGTATATTTAATTGTAGCGTCGCCGAAAGTCCATACGAAAATGTTTTATCTATATCTGTAAAGCTTATATCAATATGACAATATACAATATATGTAATTGTGGACAATCAAAAATTTTTCACACGAAACGCTATTGGTATTCGACGATCTCATTTTTTGCATATAAGTTACGTTTCCACCACAGTAACGCAAATACCTTTGACCAATTATAACTTTCCACCAAATCATACGAGCGGTTTTCCCCGATAAGTTGTAACGCGTGACGCTTACAGCCGATAACTAACTCATCAACCTTTCAACATCACCGTAGAGCAGCCAGACAAAGCAGTACACCTGCTCTTACGAATAAACACATTGATTGATCATCGCGAAATCAATAAACCATATACTTATTGAATAGAACAACATTACATTATTCCAGCCTGTTATTTACGCAACACGTCTATAATCGTCCATCTCTATGGGATCGGCAGCGACGCCGACCGTCGCTAGCATCAACAAATTTGAGTTTCACACCCGCCAAAAAAGTTTCGTTGCGTGCCGTCGCCTCAAGCGCGACCATAGCGCCCCCGGGGCGCTCGTGGCGGCCTCACAAACTGTCAGAAGTCTCGTAGCTATGAGGTGGCCACCGACAGCTCAACGGTGCTTGGCAATGCGCAGCACAGGGTGCCATTGTACCAAGCAGTTGGAAAGAGATCCTATTGACAACAACGGCAGGCATAAGAGCGCGCTGTTGTCGTCGCCGATGCCACAGCCAGTCGTGGCTGTATGGGCAACACGACCATTCGCTACTAGTCAGTCAGATAGTTGTTAGTTGTCCGCCGATGGCTGTACTCGTGGAAGCGGAGAACTGGCCGCTAACATTGTGACCGCTACGAGCAAAACTGAAAAAGGCCAGCCAGTGCGAAAGTAGCTGTTTAAACGCGGAGTAACCGTCGTCTGACTGTCTTTCTTTACGACGATTGTTACTGCTGTCGGGCCGCGTACCGAGTAGATCGCTTGCTGTACCAAGTCAGCTCTATGTTGCCATTGTGCTCCAGTACGGCTATGCCCTGTCCTGCGATTCTGACTATTTAACGGCGAACGCTCATGTACCTCTTGCTGACGAAGCAGACCCACTGAAGTGTTTCGGACACACAAACACGTACGGGGAATGGGCACTGCCGCTTCGGAAAGTTTATGTACTAGACGTCTCAGATCTGTTTGACTAAGCAGATGTGAACTGTACCAAGCAGTGAACATAGTCGGATTTCGGATCAGGCGAACTTAAAGAGCACATAGCCGTGTCTCTTGTCCGTGAAGGTGTGCAACTGTGCGAAGCAGGACAATTGGAATTAATTGCGAGTATTCGGTTTTCGAAACGGTTTAAGGCGAAGGTGGCAGGATGGCTGCGAGAAGAACCGGCGTCGTCGAGGTCCGAGTTCACTCGCGCTGGTATAAGGTCATAGCGAGTCTCGAGCATGACGCACTTCTAATCACTGTTGATGAAAATAACTTCGATTGTGTTGGCATCACAGGTGTCCATAGTAGCAATGGAATGAACAATGGAATAAGTACAAACAGCTTCGGTGCTGCTGCTGCTGCTGACATCAATTCCAATATGTCGGGTAAGTAAATGCGCTTTCTTTCTAGCGATGGGTGTGCCTTCAAAGTAAGCACAGCTATTTCTACTGTTGAAAAAGTTCGATCATCGATACAGGTACAGCACACGTAAAGATCTCCTGTTTTGCAAAAAACTTTTGTAGTGCAAAAGTCAGCTAGATATGGTTGGTGTGATACATGCTTAGTGTGTGCGCTATTAGCAGTGACTGAGGGGCAATGGGTAAGGAGAATCGATTTTCAATTCGGAGTTACTATATTCGTCGCTCTTTGTACTCACAGTTGGACGCACGATCTTGCCATAGAGAGGGTCGCCGGTAGACGCGTCTCGGTTGACCCAGGGGATGAACGCCGCTTCATTAAGATTAGCTTGCTTTTTACTGGCTTGTTCTGAAAACGGTCGTAACTACCACAACGACTAAGTATCAACTGATAGTTTATAGTAAAACTACCGCTATTTGTTTGTTACCAGATCCGGCTTTATGTCACAGGCCATTTTGGCGGTACGCAGTTGTTAGTAGCATGTTAAGTCGGCTTCACCCAAAGGCCGACTTGTGCTCTGAAGGCATAGGTATCATTTCCCTACACAATATTGGAAATTTAGTAAAAAATTATTGTCACCCGCGGTGATTCCAAGTACCCAAATATGAAATCGAGTGCTCTTCACATAGGTGTCGATCAAAAACTGTTTCCTAAAACGTGTACTGCTGACCCTTGCCTAACACTGTAACAATGATATGATAGGAAGAGCCGCTTTTTGTATAGATCAGCTGCTATCTGTCATAAAAAATTACTAGCGGCAATTACTAGACTGACTGTGTGTGTGTGTGTGTGTGTGTGTGTCTAGTTTCACCGTTGAATTTTTTTTTTCGGAACCGAAACGTTTACAAAAGCGAACGTTTTTAGCAGAATTATTTTGGTTTTCATTAAATGAGTGACACTAGTTTAGTAAATCATTGTAAATTGTTGTGTCCCAGGCACTTAGCTGGCGACATAGTTAAATTAGCTAATAAATAACTATACGACACTCAACTCAAGAGTAGTGATTCTCGCCAAAATAAAGGACCGGACCGGACCGGATTTTCAGAGGTTTTTTTTTTAACAAAATTTAGGGCAGTCATAAATCCTAAAGGAACCATCTTTAGCCACTTTGGCTTGTTTTTTTATGCCACGAGACCATTTTGCCGGTTCCTCCAGGCAATTGTACATTTTGCAAGAACACTGTTTTTGTCTGCTAAAACCGACGTAGAAAATCATCTGCTAGCAACAGGTGATTCCCAGCCTATCCATCTATACGAATGCTGTACTATGAAAGATTCTTTACAGCTCAGTAGAACCTACTGCCGTCTTGGGTTCAATAACAATAATGAAGGCTTTTCTAGACATATTTTCAATTAGCCTAAATCTACAAGGGGGAGAGAGGGAGAAAAGGAAAATTATCTGGTTTGTCAACGTTTGCAATGCGCCGTTTTATACCCTTTGGAGCTATTTTTGCCTTGACTATACCTAATTACTAATGCACTGCCAAACATCATTTGTAGAAAAGCAAACTCCTGATCCATTCGAATCTAGGTATTCTCATGCTACAGGCGACCTGTAGCAAAAACAACTGGCAGCTGTATTGAAGGACCAAGAAAGATGCTCGCAGTGTCCGCCAGTATTAGGATCTACCATTGTGTTGATCACGAACTTCGACCCGTTTTTCTGGGTAATGACACGCGACTGCCTGTGCGCGTGTGTCACATCAACTCCACTCATAGATCCCTATACGCATGTACCGGAGACGATTCGAATGTATGAACATATCACTGCAGCTTCTATTTGTAGGCATAAAGCATCCGAATATTCCTTGACGGCAACGGCCACAATACTGAATGGGAAAGGAGGGAAATCGCGGTGGTAGTAGCAGCAGCAGCGGCGGCGGAGGCAATAGATTTTTAAAAGTAAGTTTACGCTGCTTAACGGTTTAACTTTTAATTATGTTCAAAACGGACTATGTGTTTACCCTTTGTATCGGTATCTACCTTAAAGGTTTTTTTCTAATAGTTAGTAATGTACGACGCCTATGTAGGTACAGGTACGGTATGTATGAGAAATGGGAATCTTAGTTTCCTATTATTAAGAAGGTATATGAGTGAATCAAGTTTCTAGCTATTTACTCAGGTAGGTATACAGCAGTACTGTGGTCTTTTGACAGTTTTTCTCTGTAAACGCAATGGGTATACAGCGCTCAGAACGTGGTCGCTATTTGGGTACACTACTTTCAGATGATGGTTATTTAGTGTAGAGTCTGCAAACGGCTTTAAGCTTAGCCTTCAGGAAGAGTTATCTGATCGATCAGAGATTACCGGCGTACTCGTCGAGGGTAGACGCTTCTCCCAGTGCATACCGCCCATCTACGTATCTTATCTGGATTGCATGTAATTATAGGATAGAAGGTAACGTTGCTAACGAAGGTAAATTTCGTGATATGCACATATCTCTTTTGTTTTCGTCTCAAAGAAGATCTGAGATAACGGGCAAAAGCTTATCCTGTTGGACCTTTGTTAGCGCTACTTGTAGATGTCTACTGTCGTTGCTGCGTATTTTACCGTCATTACTGTTTTGTCGGCTCTATCTTTGGTAAGGCTTTCATGTACATGTAACACTCGTTGCCATCATGATGGTCTCTAATTTGTAATCACAGAGTACCCACAACACCCGATGCTACCCGATATACGTCAACTTAGACCAGTTTATTGTCTTTTTGTATCTTGTCGCTCTTTCGTTCGCTGCCTCGAGAACTGTCTTTGGCTAATTACTCGTCCGATCAACAAGCAACAAGAAGCTTTTGCTCACGATTTCTGAGAAGCCTCTTATCGATCATGCACAGCACTTCATGGTACTTCTATCTTACCTCGTTACTTTAGCGGTTATAGGGCGAAGTTGCTGATATCGGTTGCCCTGTGCCGAAGGCACGGTATTGGCTAGCTATCGGTCAGAAGCAAGCGCGAAAGCCCTTACGTTATTTGCTTAAGCCACTACGAGCGTCTGCTAAGACTCCTTCTGCGTCAAGTGGTATCATGGCCGCGTTTTGTAGACAGAAAAGGTAAATGGACAAACAGGTCGTTTGGCACGTTCGTGTATGTACTATAACATAGCGGCTGTTTGGCTGCACTTTTTAAGACCTCCAAAAGCTTTTCGACAAAGCAGACGATTGAAATTTGAGGATGCAATCGTCTTTTCGCGAGGGTTGATGTAAAAAGAGGTATGAAGAGCACGTTTGTGCATGCCCACTTGGTTGCAACCAATATGAATCGTTGCCAGGAAGGGCTGACGCTAGGAGCTTTCAATACTTGCCAGAAACAAAGACCTGAGTATCCAGACGAGCTTTGTAGATTATATTTTTGGGGTGGCAGGAAGCTGCTTTAAGGTTTTTTTTTCAATAGGCAAACGGACATTTGGATTTTCAATTATTTCCTACCACACGATAATGGAATCTATCAATAGAATCGAAAGTATCTCTTACTAACATGTACAAACTTCTACCAAGGCTGTAAAAAAAAAACAGGACGAAATAACAACTTGCTTGTACTCAAGTATGTATGGTGCTAGGGTTTTCATTCCGAAATCTGTACCGAAGAACGTCTTGTATGCGCTCCGTTGAGAGTTACGACTGAAACCTAGAACTAGGTGTCAGAATTGTTACTTGACCTCTATGAATGCAACGAGAATTCTAGTACGATGCCCATTAACATCGATGAAGCAATTCCATATTCCGTAGAAGCGACCTAGGACAAACAACATGTATGCCCTGCGATAAGACGCTTGATCGTTCAATTTGCTTTTCTAAAGATGGAGCGTGCTACATGAGCGCCTCCTTTCCTCATATTCGTGAAAAGGTACTGAAGTGTTTACAGCAGACGGCAGCAGGTCCTTCAAGCACCACCTGATCTATTAAGTCCTGTACACTCACCGAATCCATGGTTTTCCTTACTCGTCTCGATACAACTTTAGTTATCAATGGTCTCTCCAGAGTTTTTTTCACCTTGTTTTTTTTTTGAACTCCAACTTTTTGTTAGTTTTTGCCTAGACTGAGTGTACATATTTCGTGTGGTTGATTTGAGGTTTTCGCTCAATTAGCGAAATGTGGTAGCCGAAGGCAAAAATACGGCCTTTACAACAATGAACGCAATTATTGTGGGCCGCGTTAAAGCCATTTCGGCCATTGTCGGCTGCATTTTTCAACAAACAGGCATGGATAAGGCATCTGGTCGCTTTAACGGTCTGCTGACGAAAGGCTCAGTGATGCTGACATTTATCGCGGTGCCTCTTTAGAAAAGTGTGTCGCTGATATGCATATGGGCGCGTACAGCCCAGAATAGAGGGAGCGTTCCGTTTGGGTCTTCTCAGTATTCCCGTGGTTGATCATACCGAAAGTCAGATAACCTATGTCGTATATCATTCATGCCAGTTACCACAGCATAGCTGTTATTGCTAGGAAAGTGTGAGCAGTGTACAAGATGAAAATACTGACGGTTAAAAGCTGAATAATACGTTTCGATGCCCCTAGCATAAAGGGGTTTGCCAAAACGTGTTGTGCTTGTCGTACCCTATCTGATGACACTAGAATTATATTTGGCACTGAGACAAATTCAGTTTGTAGTGTCAGTGCTTGTATTATATATTCAGATACTTTCTTATTAATAAAGCTTTCAACTAAGCGTAAGCAGCAGAGATTGTTTTCAACCAGCTTGAAGGGTCCGTACAAAAAAGCGTGATTCAGATTTTGACTACTGGGAGTAACCTCTTTCGCACCTATAATATATTAGCAATTAGGATATCAAACACGATAATACTTCATGTACAGCTAATGGCAAAGCGGTCCACCTGTATCTTCAGAAGCCCTTAATAGATAGGCGGGAGCGTATGATGATAGCCCGTGAGAAGCTTCCTAGCCTTGGTCCTATTCTTTAATATCAAGTATCTGTTGATCAGCGTAGCATGAAAGAGGCTCGCTTAGAACAACTGTCACCACGTCGGTATAAATCTAAATTTTAGTATCGTTTGTACATCCACATACAATGACTTTTTTTGGACTTGCATAAGGAATAACCATCATAATAGGGTAGCACATGTGAGTAAACGAAAAAATCGTTCGTATCTATTCTATAATTTGTGAAATAATTCACCACTGAAACTACGATAGGAAATATAGAAGATTCTTTTACAAAATAAGCTTAACATCAGCTGTAATAAAAAAAAAAAAAAAAAAAAAAAAACGGCTAAGACCGAATGACGCTAAACCCTTATCACTTCTTTGATGTTGTACCCATTAAAAATAGGTTCTAGCGACGACTAGCAGTAATACATCTGTCGCATTAGAGTTGCCCAACGCTGATCGCAGCTTACGAGCACCCTGGCCTCGTGTTGATCTTCTACTGTGACTGATTATGTAACATACGAACAGTCGTCCACGTGTACCCATTTGCCAAAATACGGCTGAAGATTGTTCGAAGAAGGCTCCGAAGCTAAGCTCAGCTGCATCAGTGGCTCTGGTAAATCGTGCTGTTTGTGGCACGTTGCTGGCAACCGACGCTTCAGACCGATGATACTGAAGTTGACGTAAAATAACATTTGTTTCTCTATCGTCAGATAATAAAACTATCAGGAGCAGCAATCATTTGTAATAATACTAATTCGTTTTAGGTGTTGACGATTCATGTCAGCTTAAGGAAATCACAAGCATTCCGGATACTCTGTCGAATGGCAAACGGCGCGTGCGGATTCACAAGCCCGACTCTGGTGGGCTGGGCATTTCCATTAAGGGCGGTAGGGAAAACAAGATGCCTATTATCATCTCGAAAATATTTAAGGCACGTATTCAACAGGTTTTCAGTAATTCTACGTAATATCACTATTGATCCGGCCAGAGAATAATACAAGGCTACTAACAATCGTCGTTTTTATTTAATAACTAGCATTTTACCAAGATTAACTACGAGATAGGTAAATATATTCAGTTGTATCGGTGTTTAATATTTTCTGTTAGTCGTATCACGAGTTTACCATACGTGTTATAGTCCGACATTTTGATAGATATATATATATATATATATGCAAATTGGTTCTATTCGATAGAATAGCGTACTCAATTGGTTTTCACCTCCGACAGCCTCTAATAAGGGAACGCGGCGGCTAACAGTATTGTAGTTAGGGTTTTCTAGATGGAATCACAATAGGACGAATGAAAATATCAAATGAGTAAACGATCAACTAGGCGTCTTATGACACTGTCTCCTTGTGTGTGCTCTGTGTAAATGAATCCAGTCGCGTTATTTCATAACGAAGTATCCGTTTCGTTTCCTTCGCAAGGGCCAGAGTCAGTGTCAGTATATCCTGATCCATCGAATCAGCCAAGCCGCTGGCTTGCATATATGTATACGGATGTACGGATACATTTCGGTGGCTGAGTAGAGCTACGGGATTCCGTCAACGGCTTGACTTTTGTTGTCAGCATCTTATGGCTGCCGCTTGCGATTCAAAAGCGACGTTCAGACAAATACAGTCACGAATGAACGAAGGCTTAGCATCGTCATCATGTCAGGGTAGAGTTCGTGTGTCTATTTTTTTGGCTCTGTTTCGCAAGCGTACTGCTTGTTACATTGGAAGCGTCCATTATCGACGTTTTGCGGTAACTGGGAGCCGTTCATTAGACGGAATAGATTGGTCAACATAGCGGAAACATGGTCAACATAAGAGACAACTACGATCGATTGAATAAATGGGTTTCTCACAGCTTCGCGCATGTACTATGTTACACTATTACTATGCCTGAATTATTTCTACAATATTTGATACCGCATCTTTTTGACAGTTTTTTCTAAGCATTTTAGAATGCCGTTAGACTTCTGCATAGATAAAATCTTGCACGGGATAAGCGTAAGTCAAATGGTCAAACGATGAGCATCCTTTGTGAACTATGTAGCTATTTCCTGCTTTGTTCACTCTCGACGAACGTAATGTCATGACGAAATGATTATGAGCGTGCCCGAAGGCTATAACTTCGCTCATAAAATTGACAACGTTGTAGAACATGTATATTCCGATAGAGAAGCGGTTGTCGCAGAAGTCGGCGAATATCGGCTGATGTGTCTGGCTTAGACAATTTTGCCGAAAATTTTGCTTGTGGATCCTTGCAGTATGTGACAGTGTGTGGGACTGAATTTCATTGGCATAAGTTAAACATAGCCACGTACCGTTGAAGCTTACGGCCTCCTAGGAGGTTCTATAAGTGCGTCTTTTCCTTAACGCAATCAGGAACTGCGGCGGATGGAGCCCACCTATAACCGACCCTTGTGATTGGAAGTAAAGTATTACAGCTAACTGGGCTGCACGTTCTCGTTCTCGACGAGATCCGTGATTCTTGTAGGCACAACACTGTTACTTTGAATCATACGCGTCCTTATAACTTGCAATATTCGTCCTTTATTCCATATACGTTGGAGAAAACGACGCTAATTTGATCAATTATTAAAAACGAAAAGTGATACAAACTCATAATATGCGCTATAATACGCCAGGTAGTGTTTTAAGTCAGCGGATAGCGTTTTTTTTTTAAATGTTCAGACCGCTTAATCGTACATACATATGTGCCTAGACAGCAAAGCGCAGGCTCATGAACAGGATCTAAGTAAATAAACAAAGGTTTCCGCCAAGCTATAATTGTCGTGTTTGCATTTTCGGTATTGCTTTGACGTTCAACGAATTTAGATTAGCGAATTTCGCTGATTTTATATAGCACGATTAAGTACACGTAATAATTTCGAAAAGCTTGAGCCGGATGTGTGGCAAGAGATCCAAGTTACTGCCTGCCAACGCGGCAGATATAGTATTATAATGAAATACTATGTTTCGGCAGGCTCTATTTGAGTCTAAGTTAACTAGTTACGTTTATAGAATAGAACAAATTAGTCAAGCATGAAAGACTCAATTTCGGTCGAGCGATTTGGCCAACTCGTATTTAATGTGAAATAGTATATATTACTATAACTTGGCTCGTTTCGACATTTTATGTTGTGTTGATAGGGTCAGGCAGCAGACCTAACCGAGCAGCTGTACGTTGGGGACGCGATTCTTAGCGTAAACGGAGAAAGCCTCCGGGACGCTAGCCATGACGAAGCAGTCAAAGCACTTAAGAAAGCTGGGAAGGTTGTCGATGTGGAAGGTAGGTTGTAATGTATAGCAGTAAGTTTTTTTTGAACATTTTGGTAGTTGAAATTCCAATGCGAAGGCTCAGTGCAGCTGCTGTTGTTGTTGCTTACTACTAGTACAACCTATTTAAGTAACCTGTTTTTATTCGCTCAAGTTGTGCGTTTAAGGTGGTTTTTAGTTGTCGTTGGCGTGACTCGGAGCAGCAATCCTTCATCTTATTTCAGTTGTTTACTCCATATCTATATCGTAAGAACGCTGAAAATTTCAAAAAGGACACGTAGCCAGGCAGCCTCTAGCCTTAGGTAGAAATTGATCGAAATTTCTGTTGTGTTTCGGCGAGCTGTTCACGGACTGGTTAAATGAACAACAGTACCGGTTGCTTGGGCCATCGTCCCTTAATAACAATTTAATTTAAGAGTTTTAGTCGACAAATAACTATTCTTAACAAATCCAAGCTATCTAAATCGTGTCATTACGATAAGCTTCAATGTGAACATATCTCTATCGTTTACGATTCGAGTTATTTGAAAATGGAAACAAAATTAGACCGTTTAAAATGTCAAATAACTTTTCATGTAAATAGATACGGCAATAAAGATTAATATTTAAAAAAATATTCAAGGTAGACCTAAGCGTTTTCTTAAGGAGGTTTATTAAAAGGTGCTACCAACGTAGGACTCGAAGCTTTTCATTTGTACTCGGTTACTTCCAGCTAACTATATCGTTTACTAAGCCAAATGTCTTTTCGGTTTACGAAAAGGCTTCCGATGAGGCTGATCGAGATAGCACGACGTTGATTCAAGCGATTTCCATGGTTCGCCATTGCAGGGCAATCAACAGGAGTTTTCCAGCAATATAAAGACCATTAGCGTTCGCAGTAAAAAAAGCGGTCTGCATACTGTTACAGCTTCAACTGACTTATATGCAGTATACTACACAAAAAGAAACGCAGTCAAAGTCTCTTCCCCTCAACTGAACAATTTTTTCGGTTTCTTTTAATCTCTTCTTTTTTCTTCCAATTTGGGTTCTTATAATAGCCAAAGCTAACCGATAAACGAATTAAGTCGTAATTTATTAGTATAGATACCGAGCAAGAATAGCAAAAGACAGTTCCGAACTATCGTCATCAACCAATACAATGAGCACATACTTTAATTTTAGAACCAAATACCTTCTAGGACCGCCTATCGTTCGCATAATCCAAATTTAAGAACTACCTTACGCAGTATGGGTCAGGTGGTGGATGGTATCATCAGCGATTAGGCTCGTTTATAAGTTGGATGTCCCGGTGAAACATAAATGGTAAGAATAACACCATTTTATCGCAGAGATGTAATAGTCTGATTGGATCGCTACGTGACGGGCCCGCACGTTCGACTGGCTCTCATCTGGTTGCCAGCTAGAGAAAGCCTAGTAATTATTGCCCCGTTGTTGTTGGTCTAAAAATGGTAGTACTTAGTGGCTCCCACGGTTTGGGTCAGGTTTATTGCGTCTTGCCCCGCCCTGTAGTTTCCCTTTCGCGTTTTGTCTATTCGGACAAGGGCACAATAGTAGCACCACTGCGCCCTTGTTTTACTGGGGGAACAAGACAACACAATAGTAATTATCGTGCAAAATAGCACTTGATAAGTAGCCCCTGCTAATTGAACCAAGGAATGGCCTTCGTGTGTTTGGCTGTAACGGGTATTCTTTGTAAACGTCTAACACGTTGAAGGTGGTTGATTTTTGAGTAACGATTAATGAAGACACGATGTTACAGTAATGTTGTTAAGGGAATAAATAAAGTTATAATATAAAATATGAAAAAAATACGGTCGCATAGTTAACTATGAACTTTCTAACATGGTTTGGGGTTCAACCACAGTAAGCTTGTAGAGTTAGTCGCACTATAATAGAGTATACTACGTGTACGTATATTACGTGAATAGGAACACATGTAGGACTATAGCGAAAACACAGATCTTCGCAAGCGAACCCGAAAAATAATTAGTCGGACGAAGTTGCAGCTGTCAAAGCCGCTAGATAAATCTCTAGCTATAATCAAAAATAAGAAACGTATAATCGTAATAATTAATAACGAACCTATAATTATTTCGTAACGGCTACCGTGCCAATTATCTCAAATATTGATCTCTTCTTACTGAAGCATATCGTGAAGTATGCCTTTCTTGATTTGAAGTGTGATTGTTCATTTAGATGTAATAGCATACATATAGTATATATCGTGTCGATACATTAGGAGGTAATTATAGTACTGTAATCGACGGGTCTGCAGCTGGGCCAACAAGTGTTTTTCTTCCGAGTAAAAGTCTATTGCGACATTTTGGAACAACGGAGCTCGGTTGTCCCCTAAGCCGTTTTGTTCGGCGTAAGCAAATAAGAACACGAAGTTGAAATGTGGGAGGCGCCATTCTGCGTGATGTCTTAAAGCTATATGCAGGTTATTTATACCGATCAATAGCTGTTTTGAGTATTGCTTTTATGTGGCTAAACAAGTTTCGTCGGTAAAGTGAATGAAAGGGGCATAGTAGTTAAGTATAATAGATCTGCGGACGTGAGGTTCAAAGAGTCGAAGTGCTGCTTCTTTCGCTGTAAAGCCAGAGGTCACTTACACCGAGCATTTGCATTACCCATGCATGTACAGGAGCCGTCACTAGGTTTCGCAAAAGTGTACAGGTGGAAAAAGTCCTACTATGCCTTCTTAGAGTCATTCACTAAACGTATTGTTTCTGTTCGCCCCTTCGAAAACTGGCAGGCAGTTTTAAGAGGCTAAAGCGAGTGTTTCTGTTGCCCTACGCCAATGCGATCACAATGAATTTAAATTCATTCAAACGAATTGGCCACAAAGTAGTTTTATCCGGAGAGAAAACAGGGGCACCGCCACAGCTGACCTGGAACAGACAGACCTAACGTGGTGCTGCAATGAGGTAATTGGTGGTAAAACCATTGTTTTCTTGAGCTAGTGTTATTATGTCTATCAACGACTCATTACAACAGAATATTAGCCCTTACTCGTATTTCTTGTGACAACTAATTCCTATCAAATGCCTAGCGACTATCAGCATCGAACGTGAAACTTTTCCTTTTTTGGAAAAACTAGCCGTTTGTGGTAATGTCTCATGGCTTAGGTACTGGACGTGAAATGCGAGGACGAACTTTCTTCTGTAACAATCTGTTGGGAAATAGTTAGAATATAGTTTACGTTGGCCTTAATTTAATAGCAATGTTACACAAGAAAGAAGGGACTGAATCAAATGCAATCCGGCGAGACCTGGCCTCGGTATCGACGCGAAACGGGACGCGACATCTGAAACTGTTCGACTTATCCACTCCATAAGAAGAATCAATAAAATAGGTACATTTGAACTGGATAGACAGTTTAGCATAAGCGCGATCGGCAAATCCACTCAACAACTCACTTCGTAGACCACCTGGCAAACAATTCTTGTTGTCAAAATCTGTTAGATTTGAGTTTGACTGTTTGTCAAAACTCATAACCTCATAGTGGAGGTACGACCATTTGTAGAACACAGCGAAACGTAAAGGTGACGCTAAAACGCGTATAGGAAGGTGTTTTACGTTACGTTAACAAAAATGATGGCCGCATTCACCTTTTTTTGTAAAATGACAAGGATAAAACTGTGTTGAGGATTCAAAGGTTTGTACTTGTAGCTCTCGCTTTCGAACAAAATTGTTTGAACAGTGTTTTTCCGTTTGGAATAGTATCCATCAGCAATGTACTTCATTGTAATTCCGCTAGACTGGAACACCCTTATGACGAAAAGCAGTCTCGACTGGAGAAAGGCGAACGGATTGGATGAAAAATATACATTTTTCGATTGAGGAGCTATGTGAGATTAGCCAAGCAACGTCATAGGAGCCAGAAACTACATAAGAATGGAGGAACAGGGCAGAAAAAACGTTTCGTGTTATGGATTTCGTGACCAACGGAACAACCTTAAGCGAAATCAGACATTGATTTTTAAATGTCATTTACCTGTCTGCTACTGCCGAGGGAATTTACGACTAGCATTAAGACTAGATGCGAAGAGTCTGCTGTGGAACGTTATCCAAAATGTTGGGATAAACGATAAACAAACGAGCATAATTTTAATAGGTTTCCTACCCTAAACTCCTAGCAAGGTATAGAACAATATTTGTACGTGTGTAACACAAAAAGATGGTACGTTTATGCTTTTAATTCTGGCCGTATTGGAAATAAGCATCAGATTCGCCAAGATCGAAACGTTGCTTAGTAAGAACTTGAGTATTTAAGAAGGCAGGATACGGCAATGGGGCCCATTGTTATCGCTCGAGTATGAGTACTGGCTTTTTAGATATTGCGTTCTTCTTGTCGCGCGACAATCATACGTAGTCTTTATTCGGATACAATTTGTTTACAACAGTTTATCGTTGTTGAAAAATAGAGGAAACTTCAAATATTATTGTTAGATTTCATTCACATTTTCTTGTTCTACGCACACTAACTTCTGCTTCTTTGTAAACGATAGATTATTTGGCACTTTAAGATCTATCGAAAGTCGATCGCGTTGCAGGACCATAAATGCGTGGCTTAGAAAAGATAATCAAGGTCCTAAAACGTCTGGTTGAACTACCATCAGCACGCGTGTTATTAAGCCATCTGTCTGTATTCCTTCCTTGTAGACGTACATATTTCCGTGCCCTTCCAGTCAGAGCAGCTTTACATGCAGGATACTTGAAGGCTAAATGTCCGCTTCGAAACGTGCCTATAGTTAAGCCAAGCAGTGATTATGCAGATCTTGCTGGTTAAGCCTGGATCTCTAAATTTTGTGTAATAAAGTAGACTAAGCCCCCGTCAAGCTGCGCTGCTGAGACATGACGTAGCTGTTCCCAGTCACTGTCGTTTAGTGTGGTAGTAAGGTATGACCTTGATGTAAATTTGTTCATTTCCTTTTTGCAGTTAAGTTCGTCAAGGAAGTGACGCCGTATTTTCGTAAAGTCTCTCTCTTGTCCGAGATTGGCTGGCAACTTGAAGGAATGGCAAATCCTGAGCCGCTTTCAACGGCCGATTGTGCTTCATCAAGACGGGTGCCGCTCACTCTAGCGCTCATCGTACGGAATCTTTCGTTGCCTTTGGATGCCGAAAATAGGTAGAGCAATTTCTCAGCGGCTTCGTAGATCATCTCATAGATAGATCACTTCAGTCGAAACGGCTGATACATTCCTCGAAAATTGCACGCATCTTGAAGGGAACGATTCTCTTGACAGTTTGAAGAAAGCTCATTTAGCGGGTATATATACGGCATAAATATATATGTAGTGTGTATCTATTGTACGGATGTAGAAATAAAACTCTCAAGCAGTCAAGAAACTTTTGCTTATTTTGTGTGTGAAAATAATATCATCCAGAGGAATAGTTAAACTAGCACAATAGAGTTATCCGTCTAATTCCGTCCTTCAAATATAGGCGGAATTCTGCCGATTTAATTTGTTATCTAAATCATGTCAGCTTCTTAACTTGAGTCTGTCTTGAGGTGCCCCCTGACCAACTTATCCATCCATAAGTAGTAAAAGAAAAAATGTGGTTTTTCTTTATTATCTTGTGAACAGAGTAATTGAAATACATTCACCTGATCGACGGCACACGTGCATCTTACGATGTTCAGATTCGCATCAAGCAGCGTTGTGGCTTCGGGCGATCAACGCGGTCGCTAGTGACCTAAATCAGAAAGCACTAGATGACACAAATTCTATTACCGGTAAGCACATGAGATCATTTCTCTTATCTACCGGTTTCCTTTTGCTTAATTTAAGAAAACCTTAATAGAATCTTCTCTTTTGGAACAGCCTACCTGATGCCATCGCCATCACCAGACCTCACATAACGACTAGCGCATCGCCTACTACTACAATTTGTATCGCAATCGATTTTTACCGTTTTCCCCAGGAGACGTATTGGACTCTGGACGCGTGGTTTACATGGGCTGGCTTTGCGAGAGGGAGCCAAAAGCACCTTCTGCTTTACAGGTGTCCGACACAGCGGAGCGGCAATGTTTAATGGATCGTGTCTGGAATCCTGTATTTGTTGCACTGACAGGAAGTGAACTCCTGTTCTACGATCTCGTTCCGTGGACGCGTGAGGCTTGGGCAGTCCCGGTAACAAGCAAACCGCTTTACGTCATTCGGTATGACAATTGACTACAGAAAACGCATGATAGTAAAGCCTATGCAATAGTTAAATGAGCTAGTTACTGATAAACTGCTTCTTTGATGGACACATACGAGAACGGGATATCTATCAATGCTCAGAACAGTCCCGAGTTCGAATCTGTATAGAATAACGCACACCTTTCTTCATTCACGGCTTATTTTGAGTAACATGGGCCCACTCTCTTTAAAGTGTCGTTGCAAATAGTATTGGACGTTCGTCGTCACGAGCTGGATCGACGCATTCGCTTTCTCGAAATTCACCTGGCCGTTATTCATTGAGCAGTGGTCGCGGATGTAGTTTAGAGAGGTCCTCTTCGGGCGTTTCTGCTCTGGGCGTAGCCGGCCTATGTAGTCCCGAGGAATTCTGTTTTTCGATACGGATTGGGACACCTAAAGGGGTCGAACAGCGTGTATTACGTTGCGAAACGGCATCGTCTCGTTCTGCCTGGTTACGAGCTCTCATTCAGGGCCCACACGACTGCGTGGCCTCGATCAAAACCGTAAAGTTCGGTGAGAACACTCTTACACTGCGGGACTATTTGTGAAGATATCGGAAAAAGCAGAAAAACGCGCACAGGAAAAGCTTACGGTGACGTGTCTGTGAATAATGCTGGTCAAGATGGGACAAAAGTCTTTTGCCAGTTTGACAGTGTCTACTTTACATTATATATATACATATATATATATATATATATATATATATATTGAGTAAGAAACTTTGCCTCACCCTATATATGATTAAAAAAAATATGGTCTCTGATGATGGCGTAGCAATGACGAACATAACAAGCTTGACGCTTAGCACTTGCATGAAATTTCCACCTATTATACATTCTAATGGGAGGGAATACTGTCGGCCCATTTTTAATCTGACTGTATTATCAGAGTGTTCTGTGGGTGCGTCGGCTATGGAGTGCATTTTGACAGTTCATTTAGACGACGGCCTCAGTCTCGAAAGGGTGGATGGCGTTAAGGACGAGCGCCATCTGTGGAGTCATTCGTTCGAAGACATCGAAAAGTCTGGCGACGATGGCCAGCGCCTGCTGTTTCTCAAGTTCAAAAGGGAGGACATACCTCGGGTTAGTAGATGATAATAATAAATGAAAAATTTCGACTATTTATGTCCTCAGCGTTTTACATATGAGGTCGTTAAGCTTATGATACACGTTCTCCCTATGTATGGCCGTTAAACATATATGGAACCTATAGTGTCCATTACTTTGCGTAAAAATATCATAGGTAATAATAGCAATTTATATTATACGTTTATACATATGTTTCATTGAAAATAGACATAGATCTGTGCATCCTCGCTTTCGTGTTGCTGAACGTATTTAATTTGTTTCTTTTATTGACTGTATTTCCCAGGAGCTCGACATGCTCGGATCACCAAAACCGGCTGTCTTTACGCTCCATACGTTCCTGTCAGCGAAACTTGCACGCCTAGGACTTGCAGCATAAATTCGTATATATATATACGTACTTTTAATTATTTCATGTTAATATTGAATAGAATATATTACGAGATTTAGGCGATGATGTATAGAAAAGCAGCTATATGGCGACTGAGGGTGCCAGGAATATATTCAGGAGTATATCTGCGGTACCACTCTCAACTCTAAGCAATGACCATAAAATTGAGACGATACGAATTTCGTCTACTGTTAACCGGAGAAATCTAACGAAAATAACAAACTTTACCTTCTTTGTAAAATAGTACTGGTCATATAACTTCCTTGAAGGAAACGTCAGTTTAGAACCATGTTGAACTTGACATTGAAACTGATTATTGTTGAGCTAGCTAAAAGTTAGCAAAAACGTTACCTGACTATTTGTAAAGCATTATATACATTAATATATAATCATACGGGCAGAAGCTTCTAGGTAGTTTACCTGTCCGACTGATGTTCAAACGCACCGAAGCACACACCTTGCGTATCTTATCAATGACGTTCTTGTGGCTATTCGCTATCTGTAATATAATTAAATTGGTGCTACTTCTAAAAACAAAGAACACAGATTATGGCATATCTCCCCGTTGACGCAAGCTAAGGCGCCAGCCCGAAATTTCGCGAATTTTCCTTAATTATAGCTAAAAAAAAGATCGAGGGGAATTAGTTTATTGCCGTACGTGCCTGAGCCTGTGTGAAAATCGTAAGTGAGACGTGTTTACAAAACGTATTTATAGCACTAATACGTATACATTTACAGAGCTTTAAAAAAATGAAATCAAAATGTAACTCTTTTTACAATAATATATATGGAAATCGTTTATATTCGCACCGTTCAGTGCTTTTTTGTATTCTCAGTATTCGAGTATTTAGATTAATGTCTTTAAAACCAGATAGCCGCCCCTTGGCGACGTCCATAGGTTTCGTTGTAGTAAAAAATATCTCTTACAAAGTATAATAAACGTCTATACATGCACAGAAGCGCATATATATATATATTTTTCGAAACAAATCTTTGTATCGCTCCGTCGGCATTTTCTATGGTTGGTCTTGAGAAAAAAGGTGAGAACACGATTAAACTAGTTCTTTGTTTTTCATTCATACCATTTCCCCCGCGGACCATTTTGAACGAAAAATTTTGAAATTAAAACGATGTTATTAAAACGGTATTAAAACGTTTAACTATAATGCATCTTTTACGAATCATCGTGAATACTATTTACCATCTATTGGATACATTTATGCAAGTAACGGTTTTCATTTATTATTTAGGTTAGGCATAGTTAAAGTTTGCAAGAGGCCGCGCGAGTAATCATGTTCGACGTAACTTCGTTAACGTTCGTTGCTCCCAGAAGACCCATTGTCGAGCGCAGTTCCTTACCCATAATTGACAGGACTTCTTCAACACCCGCTGCACCCTACGTTTACAAATCAAACGTAACATAAAATTGACCCACGAGTCAATAATAACACTGATAATAGCAATAAAGTATATTCGTTTGCTTTTTCAGAAGGTTGTTTTGTTGCAGTTAATTTTTAATTAATAAAGGTGTCCATCGGGTAATGCGACAACAGTACTTAATTGTTCCCTTTCAAATCGTAGTGTACCATGAAACGAAATGCAGCCGTTGTTTAAAACTTGTACTTCAAAGACTGACTTTGAGGCAAATGTACTTCGCTTTAGGTTTCGCCTTGTCAAGAGGTGTAGCACAACTTTCATAGATCAAACTCTTCTCGTCCATATACTTTACTGTATCACATAGTTTGCAAGCATTTTTCGTTTTGACCTTGCTAGAGCAAAACTTGAGAACGACGGCACATGCTGTGAACTACGAAAAAGATATATAATACATGTGATATCGTTGTACATTATCTTTTTCCTGGGATGACTTGTGAACCGGAACAGCATTACTTACGTTATGCGCGAGGCCCCAAAGAACGGGCCGGCCAATGCACACGGCACGTGCGCCGAGTGCGATAGCTTTAGCCACATCTGTTCCACTCCTCACTCCACCATCCAGGTAAACCTCACATTGGGCACCACCCGCACCTTGCACTGCTGGCACTACTTCTGCCAACGCATCCAACTGTAAGGACAAAAGAAAAGAGACCGTTAGATTTGTCTTGGAAATTTAGGCCTTTATATTAAACTGTACCCCAGTAACAGACATTGATACAAGCGTGCTCCGGGTTAGTTTTTGTCTCACCGTAGCTGGCGCTCCATCCAGTTGGCGACCTCCATGATTCGAAACGAGAATCCCATCAACTCCGTGGTGAACGGCCAGCTCAGCATCTTCAGCTAATTATAAGTAACGCTAAGTTTATCAATTAGTTAGACGGATTGATGAATGGATTCGTGCACATAATGTCCTTCTTCCTAGCAGAGCATATCCTTTCTATAAATCATATGATAATTATGCTACCGATTTTTTTCTAATACCGTGATGTCTGCAGCGTATTGCTACACGTAACCATTTATGAGTGCAGTTTAGTAAACAAAGAACGATCCTTTTCGAGTCGTATCATCGGTACTGTCTTAAACGACATTGCTTTGGATGGCTGTTCTCCTTCACTATGAAACAAAGTGTCTCTACGCCCGGTTTCGAACCTAGATTAATTCATATGCCTTCAAGTTTAGCAGGTAAATAAGTTCCATTGACGCATTACCGAGACAGAAATTGTCTATTAAATATTTATATGTACTATGGCTGGAGTCGTTCAAAACACGATAGGGTCTCTATTTGACGTCAGCCGATGGTCGACTAAGTCAGACCACAGGTTTGAATTCGACGGGAGAGACGAGGCTATTTATATTGTAGCAGAATAGGCGAAATCGTGCTGGTTTGGACACCCATGTATGACTTCCGCGACAAGGTTCATTAAAGTCGTTTTGTACAATTGCTTACTACATATAGGCCACGAGGCTACAGAGAAAGCTTAGAAAAAATGCTTCACCAGTAACGATTCCTTTGAGAATTATTTTCATATGTGTGATTTCACGTAACCAGGCGATGTCCTTCCACGAAACACTGTCATCAAATAGGCTTTGAGTGTACTCGAGAAGCCAAGAACTCTCTTCTGCCTGACCATACGTCATCTCGGGACGAACACCCGCAAAATTACGCAACGATAATCCGGGTGGCATTTCGAACCGATTTCGGGCGTCGGCTCGCCGATTTCCTAAAAAACGCAGCGATAATAATACAGTATGGATTTATGCGAACATCTGTAAGGCTAAAAATAAAAGTCTTGTCGCAGACACGACAAAAAATAACTGGCAAATAAGTATAAATAACCGGCTTATTTAGCTATTATTGTACTAATTATAAACGGACTAAATAGCTGATTTGCTCCTCGGCCAATCAATGCTGCTTCCGCTTTTAGTAATTTATAGTCGTCGTCTTTTTTCTGTTCGTGGCCATTATCAATCCTATCTATTCTCATCTAAGTATATAGAATATATCAGCCCAAATTCTCAATTTTTGAAGCTTCAATATGCGCATAACTCTCTGCAGAAGTCTAACAATACGACCCGCTCAACATATCAAAGTTCGATGCGTAAATCCAATGGCGTAATATTTTCTACGAATTAAAGAATAGAACCTCAGAAGTGGTCACATATACACAGATACCATAACATGAAGCTATTTATACATTCGGTCTCTGGACCTACCGAGATAAGGCGTGTCAACGGTGACGCACAGTCCCTGGAAGCCGGAGCCCTCTGCGCGTTTTACCAGGTTCTTCGTGATTTCGCGGTCCTTGTAAATATACAGCTGGAACCAAAGCGCCCCGTGCCCAGTTGACCAATTGTGGAACTCGTGCGCGACGTCCTCAAGGCTGGTGGTCGACAGAGTCGATAGTATCATAATTGTGCCTTAAAGATTTGATTGATTAGTCAGAAAAATCGAGTATGAGTAGAATTAATATCAATACAATTCGTACATGCTCTCTTCCCTAAATATACATGACGGTTTATCTGTACACACACGTCAGCTGAGTTACCCTTCTTTGAAGCAGCCCGGGCCGTATCAAGTTCACCTCGTGGCGAAGCCATTCTCTGCATTGCCGACGGCGCCAAGCATATCGGAAGCCGGATGGTCGTTCCCAAGATCTTAGTAGATAAGTCAATATTTGAAACGTCTCTGAGTACGCGCGGACGGAACCGATACCTGATATTAGAATCAAATGATGTCAGAACAGAGTTTGCATCTGTAAATATTTTTCAAGATTTCATCACGTTTAAAACTCGAAAGCAAAGTTCATCATACAAGTCGGTGTCATGAATGTTTCTAGTAGGTCACAAAAATGATTTGACATGAAGATGGATAGTGCCGCAAAAGCGTTCTACCGGCAGAGATTGAGAGTATGAGCATCCAAAGTATTCTTCGGCAGAACGGCACTTCTGGAACGAAAAAACGCGTTTGCAAGGCGGAAAAATCTAGTTGAAGATGCAACAGGCTTCGTTCGTATCATCTGTGAGGCCACTCGCTACGACCATCTCGATCATTTCTCATTTTAACATTCAAATAATGCATGTTAAATCGTTCGTCGTTCACCTACCTGAGGAACGCATCTTCATTGTCCCTGAGCGTGCTTTCCGAATCTGCTCCGCTACGGTAGTAATCCCATGCCTTCGAGCCGATCTTTTCACTTGCCCTGCTTTCGAGATCCTTGACACAGGTTATGCTTGCAGAAGTGGCCATATTCCAAGTAAGTTGATGAGCCTATAGTGCCGTGAACGTTCCTCTGGCTAGATACAAATAAAGAGCACTACTAACCATTAGCTGACGAGTAAGCTGCTGACTATGATGGAGTCACATAAATGAATCAATGTATACACGATTCGAATTAAACACTTACAGAACACATCCAAAGCACTTGGGTAGATGAAGAGATTTACACTAACATGCTCCTTAAACAAAATAACGATATTCATATGCCAGCCGCCCAGAGACAAGATAAGGAAAGAGGTGAGAAGGCAAGGGAGATCTATGATTAGATGGATCGTTTATCGCTCCCTTGCAGTAGAATATTGCCTCAATGAGCACGGTTTTGCGTTTAGCAATCCTTTAGCGTTTAGCAAGTGCCATTATGGCTATTCGAACTTCTGTTTAGTCAAGTCTAGTTTTTTTTAACTTCGAATCGTTCATGTACTGCTGTCCGTTCCTCTGGACTATTTTGTTAAATCTTTGCAAATATTCTATTAGCCAAATTAACATAGCTCTATTTTTCAGCAAGCAGCTCCCGTACGTATAAGTACGTAAATAATACTCAGTTTGTCCTTTAAAGGTCAGGTCTATGGTAATCTCGCATTGATTGGTGATAAAACAAAATTACGTGTCCACATGCGGCTATTGATTTTCGGTGGGCTGATTAGCCTACCTTTTTAAAAAATCTCGCTGTGGTAAAACCGTATCTGAGACTAGGCTTCGCTTTATCGGGCAGCTTTCCTTCCGGTGGCCTTTCGTTGTTAACGAATACGAATCGCAAGTCGAGCAATGTGATGTCAGTTCATGCATCTGCTAAACCAGCTATAAAACCTACATAGTGAATCATTAATGAATTAGGACATTCGAAATCTCTTCATCTATCTCCCTAAGATAAAGAAATTGGGTGTTTACCATTGTTCGTCTGCTCTTTGGTGATTTTCAGATGTTGGATAGTAGCAGAAAAAGAGTAACGAAGTGTCATACTTGCACGTAAACAAACACCAAAACAAATAAAAGGCTCAGTAATATGCCATTTTATCTAATTAAAATTATGCCTTTTTGTGGTTTTCGAACGACACAGGTATATAGATACAGAGTTTGCTCTGTACACACATTTATTTCACAAATTCTAGTTTAAAATGTTTGGATTGCAAGGAATTTAGATCGGTCCATATACCAGTTGTGGTTTGCATGGCAGGTTATGGTTCGGCCGGCTCCATATATCAGTTCCCTCGGGAGCGAACAGCGAAGTCCGTAGAATTTCTTAACATTTAAGTTGAAGTAATTACTAGAATAAAAATCTATCCACCTTAGTAACTGCCCAAACTAACCAGTGACGACGATTTGGACACCAAAATTGGCCCACAGATTAGCTAAACTCTTTGTACTGCTCGTGACGGTTCTGTAGCACTGGGTGTGTGGGCATTAAATAAAAGTATCACTACCTACATACATACAATTTTGTGTTAGTTGATTTTTAATGACAATTCTCAGCGTGTTTTGCCATACGTAGGCGTCCAGCACACATGGCAGTGTCACCAGCTTATAAGAAAAGCTCATAGCTTTGTCTTAACAAGCTATTTTCTATGCAAGTAATATATTGTGTTATATACATATAATATATTTCGTGAATGAATTTCATCCTACAATATTTAATATGATCGTTCATTTGCAGCCCATTGTCTGAGAAGCAGGTTCATTTGCTATACGATCCAAGGGTAATGGCACGAGTCTGTCGAGAGACGACGGCGACGCCTCACCGACCAGGTCAACGTTTTGTAATAGGCCGCCATCGAACAAAAGCATTCATTTAAACATCTTGTTTTGGGAGTAAGGAAAGAAGGCAATGCCTATACACGAGCATCCGCTGTGCCGTTGTGATAACATGTGGCAGACGCCCAGCGAATGTAGCTAGAACAAGTGGTCATCACCCACAGCCATCTTAATGGCTACCAACACTTAATGACATTATAAAGTTATAGCACTAATCGAGGTTTAGCTAAGAATATAGATTACATAGAACTGTAAAATGGACCGCACGCTCTCTTGGCCTGTATAATTAACAATATAATATAATACTTTTGGTTCATTCATTGCAAATCAATATCTGCCGTCACCATCTTACGCATTCTAAGATCAAACAGTTGACATACGATTAAGGTAGTCACGGTTGACACGGCACCAAGAGATTATTAAGTGTCGGTTCGATGAAAAACTGAGTTATACATTTATAATAAATAAAAAGCCACTTCGTCTTTCAGTCAGTTGCGAAGATGTGCCCCTCCGAACGTTCGAAGCAAATAACTAACCCCTACCGGTAGAGAAGATAGAAAACTTCTGCACAGTTACCTTTATCGTACGATTGTTTTCGATCGATGAAAAACTTTTTAATTACTGATTAAAACCTTAATTGAACCAAAAGACTTTTTACGGTGTCATTTTTTTTCTGATTTTAATGAACTAAGCCATTTATTATTATTCTATTAATAATTTATCAATTGCATTGATAAAGGCGCTGTGAAGAACTTCGCCATTGCGCGATTATATACAGCGAATGATACAAATGGTGTTAAACTAGAAATGTTAATTAACGAAGCTTGTGCATTTTACGGAGCCTGAGATTCAGAGGTCCTGAAATTCCTTAATTGCTAAGGTCTCCAGGAGATGTCATCTAGCATACAGAAGCTTTTTTCCTCTTCTGATCGAATCAGTTCAAAGTATCATAATGTTATGATATTTTGTAAAAGTTCTGAAGGCGATTTCAAGAAATTAAACAATTTGATTATTAACGTGAAGGACCGTATTGAACCTCATAGCGATGAGGAACCTGTTCTGTCCTTGACTGTTTCTGGTTTTCATTTGAAGTTTCTTTAACACTTCGAATAAATTTATTTCTAGCGATGGACAAACTAAAATTGTAATTATCATTGATACGTTGTGTAACGTTAAAATGACGTCTATAAATGATTTAAGGAAACGCACAATTTTCTCTAATGATTATCTACGTAGGCCAACAAGCGGTCAATAGTAAATGAAGACTAAATTTATTATCTATTACAGATTCAAGAGACTTTAATGATTATAAACGTTATTACATTACACATTAAACATGATTACAAACACGAGCTTCGCGAAATGTGTCACGTTTTATCTATTTAGGATCAAACTTGCAACAATATTCAGATTTCGATGCGAACCCTAATTACCTGGGACATAAATTTCCTCGATGTATATATACATGGCGGTTATATGCGCGTTTTGCCATAATATGTAATGGCATATGGAGACGTTCCGTTGTGACTTTTATATTAAAATTATGTAATCGACAAGTCAGGGATATACAACAACAGGTTTTAGCACTCCTGCTTGTCCATTGAAGCCTCAACACATTGTCTATTGTTTTGCCTCTATAAAGATCTGCATGAATTTCGAATCTGAGGATCGGTCTCGAAAAATTGGGGGTTTGGATTTTCTGGTACCGTTCTCAAAAAAAAACAATTTTTTCTAATTTGTGCTAAGGATCAATATTCGCGAGTCTTCTCATCGGAAGCAATCCAACTTCCTAATAAGAGTACAAAAGTACAGACAGCTGAGATTTGCATCTGATGTAAAGAATTCGCAGTCCGCTGTTTTGATTTTGTCATAAATAGAAAAATATTCAATAGCCAAAATCCTCAGAAATTTCAGTAACAAGGAAAGAATATTACCGAGCCGATATACATGCATGAGATACGATGCAAAGTTAGAGGTGTTTCTTATTTTTTTTTAAAGTATATTATAGAAGTTCTTACTCAGATAATTGGTGATCTTAAAGTGTTTACATAACCCTCTAATTTTATTTATTTTATAATCAAAACTTTGTCGTAGAACGAGCCCTGTTTTAACATATAATACCCAGATTCCACATCGTCAAAAGCTAGTTTATTTCTTTTTTCATTTTATGTAGAGATGCTATGCTTCGGCATGTAGTTGTAGAGTAAAGGCACGCATGCGCCTACGAAGTATGACATAGACGACTCTTGTTTGTAGATTATTAACTCGTGCGCACAGCAACTTCACGCACTACGGAGATTATGTTAAGAACCATATTAGTGTTTGTTTGTTTTAATCTACTGAAAATGTTCCTTGTCAGAACTTCGTCTAAGAACATCCGGATAGTGGCTGGACAACCCTGTAAGGGGTGCATTAACACTTAATCATCGTCATCGTCAAGATCTGCCAGTCCGCCGAGGGACTTTTTGTAGTTTTGTACTCCAGCTTTGGGCCATCGACGCTTCGAAACCGCAGCATCGCTAAGTCTCAACGATTGAGTTAGAAGGGGACACAATGAGCGAACTGCGATTACGATGCAACCTGTTGGCACTCGGAATACGTTACTACAAACAGCTATATACAGATCCCGATATTTAGTAAGCGACGCGATGTAAATCCTTGTTTTTATTGAAAAGAAGATTTGAGTAACGGGCACAGTATTCCATAAGATTTTTTCGTCCACTCTAGAAAATCCTCATTAAGATACACTTTTACATTACGATCAGTTTATCATTACTTACCATTTATTATTATTATTGTTTCATTGGAAATAATAGCTTGTCTAATTTTTGCCGAATGCGTGTGGCAGATCGGACTCTGGTAGTAGACTCGAGTGGTCGGCACCAGTGACTTTACTGTCCAAAAGGAATGGTCCAATCAATTCTTCGTTTGAAGTGCAACTTCAGGTAAATTTGCGAGGTGCTGCTACTAACCCGTGGACTTAGAGTTCCCCCATAAATGCGATGGTTTCGATTGATTCTGTTGTGAATTTGAAGATAGCTGCATCGCTCCATGGAACCTTCTCGGAAAACTCTTCATTCTATTGATGTTGTTCCAAGCATGATTTGAAGAATTTTATTTGTACGAATCCTCTTCGTAGGCAGCATGCACCTTCACTGGGAAGTAACTTCTCCATTTATAACATCGTAAAATACGATGAATTTGTAATTTCTTGAGGCCAAGCTGACGCCTTGATTGCATTACAAATCTTTGGGATGCTTCGCTATAATTTGTTAGTACTTTTTTTTTTTTTTTATCATGTTCTTGCTCTTACAGAATGTTATTTACGAGCAACCCAAACACTTCCATTCGTTTAAAATTTATCTTTTGTGTAATTCGCATAGGTGGATCTGCTTGAAACTCTTTACGGTATCGTCTCTGTATGCCTACTGTTATACTTCGA